AGGGATAAACACGAAAGTTTAGAAAATGAAGGGGTGAAAATAATATTTTATAAAATTCAAAGTGAAGGGTGAGAGTAACATTTTAAAAAATAAAATGATAAAAAAGCCACAAACTGATAAACATAAAATATATATAAAATTACATACTTGGTCCCTATGGTTTACCCATCGTCATAAATCAGTCCCTGCTATTTGAAAAGACCAAATTACCCATACATTAACAGATGCAAAAAAAATTAGAAAGGACTGAGTTTATGTAATTTTTTTCTAAATTTATTTGTTCGGTTTATATAAATGTGATGACTATGAATATTTTTTTTGGAACCGTAAAACCAATCTAATCCTAAATTACTCACGAATCAACCTAGATCTCAGATGAGATTTGAACCATCAATTTTAAATAGGGACGACAATATCTCATATCGTTGGATTAGAAACCCTTTGGTTAATGACTATGAACATTAAGCGACTATATATGCTAAAATATATAGGTTTTTAAGTTCTTTAGTATTTAAATTTTATATTGGCTAAATTTTTTTTGATGTTATATAGTATTTCAATTTGTTATTTAGGGGGAAAACTTATTGTTATTTACTTAGTTTCCGTATTATTTGACCTAGCGGTAAAAAGATGAGTTCAAGTCTCTTAAGAGACATAAATAGTATTTAGGATTAGGTTAGCTAGTTTGTCTTTTAAAAAATTTTTAAAAAAATTACTTAGTTTCCATTATTATAAAGTTAGATATTAACATATCGTTAATCCCACCATCATTCTCTCCTCAATAGCTCATTTATTGTTGACCAAATATGTTTCTATTAATTTGAAGATACTCATTAAAAATTGTTGTTAAGGTTACTTTTTTTTTGAACCGGCAATTTTATTAATAATACTCCTTAGCAAGATGCTAGGGGACAGGAGTACAATAGTAAACATCAAACATACCAAATGGCATAATTTATGTACAATTCAATGGTGAAAGACACCACTTATCCCTATCAACTGTATCACTTCTTGGACTCTTATACCTTCTCCAAGTAAATACTGTAGCTTTGATATAATCCAAAATTTTCGCCGGGTTCGATGATTCTCCTTTAAAAATTCGATCATTTCTTGCCTTCCACAAACTCCAAAGGGTTCCGTATATAATACATGTAAGCACCTCTTTCTTTTTTGGATAATGCCCCCAGTTAAGTCAAGCACCTCATTCACCCCTGAAAAGAATTGTGGGAGAACTCTACACCAATTTAGTACCATGGTTATAGCATCCCTCGCCATACTGCATGAGGTGAGAATGTGATTCACTGATTCATCTATGTGTTCACATATCCCACACGTTGTGGAGGGTTCGGAATGTTCCTCTTTCCTAGCGCCTCAGCTGATGGAATCCTCCCCTGCTTTGCCCGCCAAATAAAATTCACCACCTTTTTTTGGGGCCGAGTTCAACCACCAGAATTCCCCATCACAAATCAGATGAGAGGCTCTGTCAAGTCTGTTCCTAAACCTTGCCACACTAAAAACTCCATCTACCACATAGTCCGATCTCCACGATAAGCCCCTATCGTTAGTATTAATGACTTCCTTCACATCTATATTTAACTTCTAGAAGCCATTCTTTGCTTTATCTATGCATGACTACACCCCACCCCGATTATGTTTTGCGAAGCAAAACCAGGGACGATTTGGAGGGTTATGAAACCCCATTACAATTTGGGCCCAAAGGGAGTGAGGACATGTTTTGAACTTCCACCACCATTTAGCTAGTACGGAAAAGTTTAGGTTCCTTAGAGATCCTAATCCTGCCCCTCCAACCTCCTTTGGAGCTTTTAGTTTATCCCATGCCACCCAATGTACAGTTGCTTTTTCCGAACCACCTCTCCAAATAAACTGCCTTTGGATCTTTTCAAGCTCTTCGATTATTCCAATGGGGGCTGCAAACAATGATAGATAAAAGGTTGGAAGATTCCCAAGTACAGCTTTTGCCAAAGTCATCATGCCACTAAGGCTCAAAGTCTTTGCCTTCCATATGGAGAGTTTGGAGCGGAATCTATCAACGATCGGCTTCCATGCTTTTTTCCTGTTCATATTCTCACCAACTGGTACCCCCGAGATAAGTAAAAGGGAGAGAGGATGGCGCACACCCCAGTGGCCCAGCCCAATCACAAACCTCCTCAAAATCAACTCCAATTCCAAATACCCGTTATTTGTTGAAATTCACTTTTAACCCCGACACAACATAGAAACACATGAGTATTCTAGAAAGATTGTAGACATTTTTTTCGACCAATCTCCAATAAATAAGGCGTCGTCTGCGTAAAATAGATGAGAAAGAGAGATGTTGGTATTTGGAATATGGACCCCATCGAATATCCCTTTTTCATTAGCCACTTTCATCATGACATTTAGACCTTCCATCGTTATTATGAAAAGGAACGGTGATAACGGATCACTTTGCCTCACTCCTTTAGTCAAAGGAAATTCCGCCGTTGGGATACCGTTGACCAGTACCGACGCCCTAGACGACATGAAACATCCATTTATCCATCTTCTCCATTTTAACCCGAAGTTCATTTGAGCCATAACCGAGTCAAGGTACTCCCAATTTACCGAATCAAATGCCTTGTTAAAATCCGCCTTGAATAACAATATTTTCCGGTCACTTTTTGTTGCCCAAGAACACACCTCGTTTATTATTAATGGACCTTCAAGGATGTTCCTCCCTTCCACAAAAGCCGATTGCACCTCGTCAATGCATACTCCAATATGTTTTTTCACCCGGATCGCCAATGTTTTAGCAACTATATTGTACAAAGCACCAATAAGGCTTATTAGTCTGTAGTCGCTTAAGGAGAGTGTGTCCTTTATCTTAGCCGCAAGAGAAATGAAGGACGAATTTCAACCCATAGAAAATTCTCCCCTCTGCTCAAATGATCTAACAAAACTCATAATATCATCCTTTAGCATACTCCTGTAAGTTTTGAAAAATTTAAATGAAAATCCGTCTGGCCCCGAAGCCTTTTCTGATCCACAAAACCATATTGCGTTCCTGATTTCCTCAACTGAGAAAGGTAGCTCGAGAGAAGAGCTCGCCTCCATAGAGAGCGTTTAACTCTGTTGCTTCTGATTTTTGGTCGACACTTCCATTTTTATTCAAATTTCTTAGAGAAAAACTGGAAGATCTCACCTTTTACAGCTTTAGGACTCGTCACCCATTGACCATTAATGACCAGCCCATGAATTTTGTTCCTCCTGTTATGATTACTTGCATAACCATGGAAGAAAGAAGTGTTTTCATCTCCATCAGTCACCCATTTTACCTTCGCCTTTTGTTTCATGTCCATTGCAGCCATCCTTTCAAGCTCTGCAATCCTTTTTACACAGTTGGTTCTCTTCCCCAGTTCATGAGGCCATAAGGATCTGGACACCGCCAAAGTATCTAGTTGTGCAATGGTATTCCTGCACTCTTCTAATTATTTATTTTCTAAAGCAAAGGCAGGTTCTCGCCACTTCTTGATTTCCTTTTTTAAGAAACACAATTTCGTCGCCAGGAAAGCATCAACGTTTCCATGACCTCTGAATTTCCTCCATGCCTCTGAAACCACATCTTGAAACCCAACCTTTAACATCCACGAGTTGAAGAATCTAAATGGCCTTGGAACGAAGTCCTCACAAGAAGTTTTCAACATAATCGGGCTATGGTCCGAGAATTCTCTAGCAAGGGTCGTCACTGAAGATCCCAGAAAGCAATTCATGAAGTTATCACAAACTAAAAATCTGTCCAATTTGCTCAACTTACCACCATCTTCTGGTCTAAAATAAGTGAACTTGTATCCACCCATTCTCAGATCATGTAGAGCACATGAGAGTATGAATTCATTAAAATCATCAGCATAAATGTGACAAAACCTGGAATTTACTCGCTCATCCCGTCTACGAACTACATTAAAATCACCCGCAAAGATCCATATCGCCGCTCTACTAGATTTAATCTGAGCCAATTTCTCCCATGTTCTTCTCTTTTCCGACGGAGCTTGAGGCGCATATACGTTTACAATTGCTATTTCAGTGTTTATACCTACCCACCGACCAAATGTAATCAAAAAGTACCTTGATTTTATCGAATCAGATACTCTAAATACCTTATCATCCCAGATTCTAATAAGCCCTCCGAATCTACCTGTTGCTTCAATTAATTCAAAACCAAAATTGTTCTTGACCCAACAATTTCTAATATTTAATTGGAGTGAAGATATCAACCCCAATTGTGATTCCTGGAGGCAGGCTACTGAGACCCTGTGTTCCGAGCATAACCTCCTAACCCAACACTACTTATGAACATCGCCAATTCCCCTCACATTCAAAGAGAGCATATTCATTGAGGAATATTGATCTCACCCTCCATACCCATTGCCTCCTCTAAAACCTCGTTCCCAATTTCAATGTCTACATCGATCATCTTTCTGATTTCAACTATAAGGGCAGTCTCGTTTATATCATCACAACCTTGGGGGTTTACAGCCGAGACCATATGATGGGGGAGCGGTTCGGATCCATGTCGGCATCATCACCATGTGGTATATGATCAGAAGTGGAAGATCCACTAGGATTGCTGTTCAAGTCTAATCGAGGAAAGGAGGAACGCCGCATCTTCTTTCTAATAGACCCGTCCGCCAGAAATTCAACATCCGGATCCGGTTCGTTCGATTTATTGTTTATAGGCCCAAACGATTTTGGGAGTTTTCTTCCATCATTTTTTACCGGCCCAGACTTAAATGGGCCAAAACTCCCAGATTTTACTAATTCCGAATATATCCCAAAATTATTAATAACATTTACCTCAGGAATTTTAACTGCCATTGAGTCGCCTACATTGGGTTCAGAGTTCCAATCCACCCGTTGGCAATTAATGATAGGTGATGGTTGAGTTTCCGTAGCTTCAGAAGCACGGTCCGGTTGACCGACATCTGATTTCGGCGACCTGGAACCCGGCGAAGCCTCACTATCTACTGCCATCCTTTCCGGGTAGCCTCCTTTCCATCCTTGATATTACAATCATATCGGAATTCACCTTCTTCCAATTCTTCACTAGATAATCCTCGATCAGTGGGGTCACATGCAGGTGAAACAACAGTTTCCGAAATTCCGTCCTCATCTTCCCCTGAGTCCAGATCGGCCATCCCATTTGAGTTCACCATGTCCGGAGTTCCAATTTTACCATCACATTCATCATTTATTCCAGGCCCAGATGGAAAAGGAGACCAGACAAAATCAACTTCTACAATTCCCACCCTTAGAATCTTCTTATTTGAATCCACCACCACTTCTTCGTTGATTTTCGTCTTTCTCTCCGTTAACACAAATATTACCACAGGACACATCTTGCAAGCTCATTGGAATCATCTTGGGATTTATTAACTTACCCACCGTCCCTACAATACAAGCAAACTTTCCTTCACTCCACATGTGTAAAGGAAGACTAACAATCTTCAGCCATGCAAATCTTTCAGGCGAATCAACGTAGGAGTTCCCCGGTTTTAATTCACAGAACCATTTTCCCCAGTATTTTTCATTCGTAAGGACTTCCTTGACATCGTGATCGTTCCTGAAACGAATCCCAATCTCAAGTCCACCCAGGTATTTCGTTCCATAAGCAGAAGACCGCCCCAACCTTATCTCCAATGGCAAGTTTATTAGATGCTCAAAACTGTGAGTAACTCCGATTAAGGTAGGCGGGATGCGAATCCACTCTGCCCAGAACGAGCCGTCCTCAAGGATGATAGGTTTTTTGACTAACTTCGGGGGAGGAGGAGGGATAGGTCGACCATCATACCCAACTATGACTTCTGCGAAGGATCTTCCATCCCGTAACGAACCCATATCCTTATGGGCGATTTTTTCATATTTCCTTCGCATTTTCGAGTCATCCCCCTGGATTCCACTGTTCTTCTTTCAAATTTTGCCACATTTATCTCCAGAACAGAACCCATGCATTTTACTCCTTGCAGGGAAGCCTCCAGTTGTCTCACGTCCAGGACCTCTTTGAATTTGACAAAAGCAAAGTTTTTCTTGTGTGAATCCTTCTTTGTCGCCATGTACTCACAATACATCCAAACTTTGAGAAAATCTTTTTGAGGAGTCTCATTGCGAGTCCCATCTGGAAGATTGGTTACGAACATAGTTGTGATACTCCTAAAACTGTTGCCGCGGGCGGCCTTCCAGTGATACAGACGGTTCATCTCCTCAGTAATATTTTGTAAAACATAATTTCGTTGTTAAAGTTACTAAGGTAGTGTTTGTTTTTTGTCTGCAGATTTGCGTGGCCTCTTCTGTCTGCGCCGCGCAGACCACGCGCAGACATTAGCCTTCGCAGACTGTTTGTTTTTTTGAAGACTGCAGACCTAAAAATGTATGCGCGCCCTCTTCTTGGCGCAGATGTGGACCAGAGTCTTCTAACATCTTCAGACATCTTCTAGCCTAAAAAAACATATATATCTTTATTTTTTTAAGTTTTTTTTTAATTTATATTTTTTCCAACTTTATTAATGATAAACAATTTGAAAAAAAAAATACAAAACTTAAAAAAAAAAAAACGTTCGACGATACAAACATGATATTTTTGACAAATTTATAAATAAAGATTTATTACAATAATAGTCGTTGAAATTGTTTATATAAATATGAAAAAAAAATCATAATATATTATTATATTTTTTGCCAAATTTTGTAAAACATTATTTAATACAATATCGTCAATTTCTCGAGAAAAAATATTTATGGTACGTTCTTAATGAATTTAATTGAAAAAATCGAAGTTTATTTCCATCCATTTATGTATCAAATTCTTTGATCACTAATTATAATGTTTAGTTATAACTTTGCAACAAAAAAATGTTGGTTTTTTATCAAATATATACGTTAATTCATACCATTTTTATTTTTATTTTTTATACAATAATAGATAAAAGTTGATCTAGATTCGTTAATTATTTATAACAAAGTCATAAAAATATTAAAAAATCACTTTGAAGTTTAAAAAAATCAGTTTATTTAGATTTCAGTTTATTTTAGTAGTCCGCAGATGTTAAAAAAACAAACAGTCTTATTTTTTCAGACTGCAGACGTTTGGTCCACCTCTTCTACTACAGAGGTCTACAGATGTGGTCCGCAGACTGCAGACATTTTGCCTCAGAAAAAACAAACAGCACCTAAGATTTTGGCAAAAAATAAAAAAATAAATAGGGTCTTTTTCAGTACCATTGAATATTGATAACTCCAAAGAATATTCTCTATATATTTCTTTAATTTGGGTAGTCGTAGTTAAATAAAAAAACACGGCATTTGGGTTTGGGCAACTCATATTCGTTTACACTTTTTGTCATTAAATAAATAATCTAATGTGATTGAGAACTAAACAACTATTAGGGTAGTAAACACCCAAAAATAAGTTGTTTCTTTTAAAAAACGATTAACGTATTGCATAAGATCTCAAGCACTTGTCAATCCTCTTTGGGAATTGAAATGAATCGGTTTTTCTCTCTTAGCATATCATGAAACTGTTTTAAACACAGTTTTTGTTGTCAAATATTTTCAAATGTTATGCAAATTGAATCACATCTGGTTGGTATATCGTCCTAGTATTGATATACCATAAATCGTAGTTAACATGAATCTAAATTTTAACGTTAAATTTAGCCTAACTTGCACGACTAAATTTATAATAATGCAATATACCGAGTATGAAAACGATATGTAATCTAGTTTTAACCGCCATTTAAGTCGGGCATCAACATTGGTGTTGTTTGATGCATTATATTACGAAATTAAATAAACTTATAGGAAATGTGAAATTTACTTCATGTTAAATTTTATATAAATTCAAACTGGAATGCAAATAGCCAAATACCAAAACAATTAAACATAAGTTAAATTTTAAATGTGAAATTATATCATGTTAAATTTTAAATAAATTCAAACCGGAATGCAAATACCAAAACAATTAAGCATAAGCGTTTGATGTATCATTAACTAATTTTGTAGGTTGAACCAGCGAGTACAACAGTCTCGTTCCAAATTCTATTCATCTAATGGTGTAAGTTAATTATAAATTGCATATTCTAATCAAGTGTCTTCTATGGCTAATTGTATGGGGTGTTCTCCGGGCTGCTTTCCGTTTTCTCACTTGGGGGTTCCTGTTGGTCAGAATATGGCTAGAATTGATTCATGGGGTCCTGTTGTTGATTCTTTCCGGAAATGATTGGCGACTTGGAAAGCCAAGTGTCTTTCTTTTGGTGGGCGGATGACTCTAGTTAAAGCAGTGTTGGGTTCGGTTGCCAGCTACTTAATGTCCATTTATCCGGTGCCTCTTACAGTGATAAAGGATTTGGAGAGATTGAGATCAGTGTTTTTTTGGGGTGCTGATTTGGATGATCGTCGTATGCATTGGGTTAGGTGGGATAAAATCCTGGCCTCGAAGGAAGTTGGAGGTTTGGGTATTGGTAGTCTTTTTGCCTTTAACAGGGCATTATTATTACGTTGAAAGTGGAGGTTTTTTCACAAACCAAATTTATTATGGGTGAGGGTGGTCAAAACTATATATGGTTTGGGGGATACTAATAATTCTTTGATTCGAAGGAGACAGTTGATGGATCCTTGGAATGGTATTACAAGGATTGTAAATAATCTCAAAGATAGGGGCTTTGACTTTCATAACCTAGCTCCTATAAGAATTGGTGATGGGGCGTATACTTCTTTTTGGCATGATAAGTGGGTAGGCAATACTCCTCTTTCAATTTCCTTTCATCGTGTCTTTGCTTTGGATACGAATCGTTCAGCTAATGTTTGGGATCGTTTTTTAATTGGGTGGAACACTGATGTCCTTAGACGTATGCCTAGAGGTGGAATTGAAGAATCTCAATGGCTTTCTTTTTTGGAAGTGATGGAGGGTGTTCAGCTTCAACATGTCCCATATAGATTGGGGTGGACTCTTGATAGTTCTGATTCTTTTTCCGTTTCGTCTGTTAGGTTTGCGTTGGATAGTAGCCTAGTTCCTTTGGAGGATAGGGGTACTAGATGGAATAATTGGGTACCTATTAAGCTCAATATTATAGTATGGAGGATTCAGCTTTCTAGTATTCCTACGAGGGAGAGATTATCGATTAGGGGTGTTATGGTCCCTTCTATCATGTGCCCAATTTGCATGGTTGCAGCCGAGACTATTGAGCATATTTTTGCTGGTTACCGTGACTTACAGGATATTCGGGGTAGGGTTGCTATATGGTGGGGTTTATCTCTCCCATCGCAGATCTCGGTGCAGTCCTTAATCAACTGGTCGGATGGGATCAATTTGAGTACAGTCAAAGAAAGGCTTTTGATGCGGTCATTATTACTTCCTTATGGTGTTTATGGAAGTTTCGTAACGCGTCTATTTTTGGAACGGTTTTACCCAAAAAGTCGGTTATTTTTGATGATATGGTTGAGAAATCATTTTTTTTTTGATTTCTAATAGATGTAGTAGGGTAAACTTACGTTGGACTGAGTGGCTTCATAACCCCTCTCTTCCTACTTCTTTGATGTAATCTTTCTAGTTCCATGCTAGTTTTTGCTTTTAATAAAATTCTACCGTTCTAAAAAAAATTGATGTCAAATTATATTTTAATGTAAGTTGGTGCTAAAAGATAAAGATACTAACAAACTCTAACATCTTTTCGTCCATCAAGTTATCTAATTAAAACAAACTCTTAATTAATTAGACTTAATCTTACTAATTAAAACATAAAAATGCTATTGGATCAAATTCTAAGACCATATAAAGTGACGTGCAAGTGTTTCCACACAGTGCCCATTTCTATTTCTCCTCACAAGCTCGAAGTATGACAACATGTAATTACTTGCTTACACTGGCACTAGATTCTTTCGTAGAACTTATTCGATGTTTGTTAATTATTTTTAATTCATGAAACAATTATGTTTCCATGAATTAAATAACTTGAAAAAACTAACCTAAATTCAAGCGGCCTAATATGAACAAAATCAAAATTCAGATGTTTAGTTAAAACAAAAATAAAATTGTTGGATTAGAACACGAATCCAAGTACAAATCGTATGATTAACTACATTGTTATACCCCATTTATTAAATAAGTAAATAGACAAATTAATGAATGAATAGTAGCCCTAAAATCAATAATAATTTAGCAATGTGTTGGTTTCGAGGAGTTAACTGTCATAATTTTAGAAGTTGCGGGTTAAAAGTGTAAGTTCCGTATTGGTTTTGTAAATATTTATGAAGGCAGGGACTGCTTGGTAAATTATTGGGTCTTAATTTGAAGAGATTTTGGAGGCTAAGGGGCTGAATGGTAATATATGGACTTCAGTTGAAAATAATTTGTAGAGGAGGGGTTGTTTGGTAACTGTTGGTCTTATTATGAAAGGAATTATGGGAGCAGCGGTATAATGGGTAAATATTGGAGCTAATTCGAAATTATTTCAGAAGGGAGGGACCAATGCTGTCATTATGGAATGAAGTTTATGGGGTCGGGGTATTTAACCCGTCACCCTCGTCCAACCCTAAACCTAATCATGGTTATACCAGCCGCCACCCTCACTACCCTCATCCTCCAGCCACCAACCCTGTTTCTTCACTTCCGGTCGTCGTCGCCGATGTTGGAGCCGGAAAACCACCGAGCCATGTACTGCTGTCGCCGTTTCTGTTGTGGTTGAGGACGAAGACCGGCGGTGGGACATCGTTTCAGTCGGAAATGAGGAGGAACGAGTCACAGCCGCCCTGCCGTTTTGGTTGCTACCGATCGAAGACGCGTCCATCGCCGGACGTCGCTACTATCCCTGCCGGAGAAGCGAACCATGGAGGAGCCGCCGCTATCGGTTGAAGACGCACCACCGTTCCACTGTTACATT